CTCAGGTTTGAGATGGTAGCCTCCTCCAGAATCAAAAATCAGTCTTGGAACTTCTTTGAGGTATGAGTCTTCAACACCACTTGTGACAGGAGAACGTCTTAGATGCTTGTATGATGAGGTGAATAAGGTCTCTCTCACTTCATGACATTGAACCATGTTGCAAGATACAAGGACAGATGATTCTTTATGATCTGAAGGGGTGGAGATGGTTAAGCATCCAAGGTGAGGACAGTTTGCTTGAAGAGGTGTCGCCATGGCTTGAACTGTTGGAGAATTGGTAAAAAGAGTATTGGCCGCGGGTGGAAGTTTCGCGACCGCGGTGAAAGGTGGTTTGGCTGCCGGTGCAAGTGTCGCGACCGCGGAGAAACATTGGTTGGCCGCTGGTAACGCACTCGCGACCGGGGTGCCAAATGTCTGAGGAGAGACGTCCAGATCCTCTTGCTTCTTGTCTCCAATTCTTTTTCCTTGTGGAGACTCTTCAGAAAAGAGTCTTGAGAGCCATTTAAGCTTCACTCTTGCATCAATTAAGTCTCCATCACCTCTCATATGAGCATTAGTTGAAGGTGTACATAAGGGAGTACCTTTGTTCGTCAAGCTTGTAAATCCGGCGTTTTCTTTGGGTGCTCTTCTTTCTAGAACGTATCCAACATCTTTTGTAGTTCCTCCAGGGTCAAATATTGGATTATCTACGCCGCCTATTGTCAGACAATGAGAGTTCCTTGTAGGAATTGCCGGATGTGAGGTTTTCTTGTTAATCTTTGTGAAACTCATACATTGATTCGGGTTGTCGATGGGTATTTCATCAGATGCCAGGAACGAAGTACCAAATATCAAAGGTTTTGTTCCATCCTTTCTCATCTCCATAACATGGAAATTAGTAGAAACAATACAAACTTCCCCTTGAAAAGGCAATTCGGGTTTGAAACCGAGTGGAGCTGCACCAGAAAAACCTTCATAGTGAATGTAAATCTTAAAAGGATGAAAAATCGAAATACCTATATTCTCTGCAATGGTCTTTAGTATGAGATTCACATCAGGTCCAGTATCACAAGGAGAATCACGAAATTTCACTCGCTTGATCGAGAATGGGGCATCAAACTTCTCAGGATCCTTCGTCTTAGAAAGCGCCTCCAATGGTGGTTTTGATGACACCATTAGTGTCTCATCTTTCACGTGGTCTGTCTCACAGTCAAGATGGTGAGGAGCTGAAGGAGAAAAAGGCTTTGGTTCATCAAGAGGAAGTGACTTATTATCTTGTTTGTAATCTCCAAAACACCTGAACGAATCAGTAGAGACGAGATCATCACTCGGGTTAGAAACAGGTTCTCCTTTTTCTTGATGACTGGCTTCCATGACGTGATGATCCAAAGGAATTTCATTTGATGGCCTCTTTCTAACGAACTTGATGGAGGTCCATCTACTTCACAAGCTACCCAATACCCGTCATCCATAGATTCATTGAGCTCCTGAAGCATATCATCAATCTCGGTTTGTAAGATAGACGACATATCTTCATCAAAGAGAGGATCATGGATATCTCTGTGGGCATTGTAAGTTGAATAAGGGTCGTGGTCCCAGTAGAATCCTTGTTCCTCTAAAACTTCGCGAATTGATTTGTTGTGGCTGTGAAGTCCTCTTGTGTGGTGGTTCGAAATTGAATTCCAATCCATTGAGAGATCACAAATGTATTGTGCTTCTCGGCGTCGAGTGGCTTGAGGAGTGTTGTAAAAACCTCCCTCATAGTAGTAATTTCGTTTCATATGGTTCATTGCTTCATAACCTGAAACAAGAAGAACCAAAAACGAAAATAAGTAGAAAAGGTGTTCTAGAGTCGATTTACCAACCTTTCTTAGGGTTTTGCGGAAAAGAAAAAGCGTGCCATCCCCGGAAACGGCACTAAAAATTTGATGTGGTGTGTGTCGAGGATAGTCAAGTTTTACCCTAAATGAAATCAATAGCCGCAAGTGCACAACTGATCGATTGTAGTACTTAGGGATCGAATCCACAGGGAAGGAGGATCTTTCCTACAAAAGCCTTCGAAAGAAATATAAAGTAAGGAAGTCTAGAACCAGGCGAGTTTTTTGAGGGTTTTGGTGGTGTGTTTAAAACGTAAAAACGAATCTTAAAGAGAAAATACGGGAATTAAAATGACCTAATAACTAAACTTAACGAAAACGGATAAAAACGAGAAAACGGCTAAACCTAATTGCTAAGTGAAAATCGATTGAAAGAGTAAAGAAACTAGACTAAACCTTGAATGAAAATCAGTGTAGATCTATAAGAAAGAAAGCGCGGGGGTTCAGGGAAGTTTTTTCAGGGGTATGAACGATTCAAAACATTGATAGAGAGTAAATTTGATAAGATTTTAGCTTAAACTTTTCGAACTGGAGACACGGACGTATGAATATGCTACTGTCGTGATCATAGACAACTATCTCTCTCAACCCTGGCAAGTAGGTTTCCACTCTGGCCCTGGAAAAGAAGAGGTGCATTATGTTTAAGACTCGTCAGCATTCACAAATCGCCCATAGGTAGGTTTCCACTCCTATGTTTGTTTTGCTCTACCAAACTAGATCTGAAACCGGATGAACACTTTCGTGTCACTAAGAATATGGATCAGATTGTAGTTCATGACGCTAGCTCATGCAGTAAAAACGAATTCAGAAGAAAAAGTTCTAAGATTCGGCTCAATAGTTCATGGAATCCTCACCGAACATATATATCCCCATCGAAAATCCCTTAGACCCAACAATAAAACTACTCAGACATGATAAACGAAATCAAAAACATAGTATTAAAACGTAGTACAGAAACCGAAATTGAAAAAGAAAGAACAAGGGTTCAAGAGATAGATCCCTCTCTCCCTAAAACCTAAAAACAAAGCTGAAAGTAAAATTTCTGTAAATTATTTCGTCTCTCTTCTTCTCTTCTTAAAAAAACCTAAATGATATGTATTTATAGTCTCCAATACTGGTGTTTAGGGTTCCGGAATTGAGGCTGGGAAAATGATACGGGCTTCAGAAATGGGTCTTCAAACTCGGAGTTAGCTGGACGCGGTCAGGAAGTGCGTGACCGCGGGGAATGGGTGGCTGGCCGCGGTCGGGATGGTTGTGACCGCGGGGAATGGCCTGTTGGCCGCGGGTGAAAACGCTTGCCGACTGGTTTACGAGACATCTTGTTCTTCGAGTATCTTTTGATTGAACCGTTGGATTGCCAAGCTGTAAAGTGTGCTGGAAAGCTGATACTTCCATCTTTGAGATCTCCAAATTTGAGCTGGATCAGACGGTGAGAAGGCTTTCAATCGGGGGGGGGGGGTGAACTTCTGACGGTTTGACTCTTAGCTGAAATCTGGTATTCTATCCATTTTGTTAAGCTTTTCCCTTAGTTACCTGAAAAGAGTCTTGGAACTACAAATACTAGAAAAACGTAATAAAAGTACTTGAAAGCAATTAAAAACATAAAAAAAGTATTTCAAAACGATCCATAAAAGTGGTCAAAATACGGTGTTATCAGATTTGATGTTGTTATTTGATTTGCAGTGATTGTTTGTACAAGAACGTCAGAGGTTCTGTCAAGATGATGAGAGAGTACGTACCCATCTAGAAAGGAACGAACTTGAAGGCTCCACATAAGGTAATTGACACTGGTGAATTTTTAGACATGGGACATAGTAACGTTGAGAATGTATTCTGAGTTTAGAGGGATTTGAGCTGTAGCAGCTGGTGTGTGATTTCTGCCATTGGAGACGGTGTTGGGGTCGGTTTCACCCCAAGCGGATAGAACCATCTTCATGATGACTAAGTGTTCAGGGGAGCCGAGCTATAGCGAAGAAGTACGAGAGTGAGCCAGATCCATAGAAGAAATGAGAGGATGGGCTGAGCCATCCCGTAACTTTGGGTGTAGCTTGGGCCGAGCCGTGAGAGGAAGAATAAGTGGGCTGAGCTGCAGAGAATAAAAGTGGGCCGAGCTATGGAGAAGAATAAGCGGGCCGAGCTGCGTCCTTTTGTGTTGGGCCGAGCTAATCTCCTTTGTATTGGGCTGAGCCGATTATTTTGCTATGGGCCGAATCAAGGTCGAGGAGGATGAAGCCCACAGAAAAACTCTAGGCGAAATACAAAGGTGGCGGCCGCACAAAATGATAAGGAAATATTCCTTAAATCTCTCCGATAAAAACCTTCTTTTGGTCTTACTGTTCTTGCGATAAACCCTAGAAATTTCAGATCTCTTAAGTTTTTCTTAACAAATTTTTGGTTGTGCGAGTTTTGGGACACACAATTTGGCGCCGTCTGTGGGGACTCGAAATTTTCTTACTCAATATTGTCAAGAGCTAGAAATCTGAAGAACATGGCAACCGACGCACCCGGAGACGACAACAACAACAACTGCGTGGAGAAGGACGCTCCACCATCAAGCAAGACAACGACGACCACCGAAGCCCAAGAGGATGCGAAACATGATGGCCACGTCGATGAAAAAAATCGACAAGCAGGACAAGAGGAACGAGGTGATTATGGAGAGACTTGACGCAATGACGGTCGAAAGACGGCACCCAACTTAGAGAGCCAGGATCTCTGATCCGATAGATGGAGTTAGGAGACGCTTCGATTTCTCAACACCTGCAGATGCTTCAGGTAGCGGCATAAGAAATCCCATGGCTCCGCCAATGTTTCGTCCCATCAACTAACAAATTCCCGCAGCTAACCGAATCAACAAGACCAAACCGCCCCCGATTCGTCGGAATTCAAGGCGACGAGGCGATGAAAAGGAGAACGACGTGATCGATGTGGACGCTCGGCTCGGCGGATTAGTCAAGAAGAGCTCGCCTCAGCACTAAATGGCATTCAGGCTGACAAAGTCACCGACCCGGTTTGCGACAACAACCCAACTGAGGAAAAGGAAAATCTCCAATGAGTCGAGCAGGCAGAGTACGGAGATGACCTCGCCAGCCTAGGAGAACGACCCGTGCGTAGACCCTCGAGATTGAAGACTTGCGAGCCTCAATGGCTCGGACAGTGGCCGAGATATGCGCCATGAAATCTCAAGTGCATAACGCGAAAAGTGCCGTGCCAGAGATTGATCGAAAGCTTGAGGAAACCCAAAGAACCCCATTCACAACAAGAATCACGGAGGCTAGGATTCCCAAACCTGGAAAAGTCAGAATCTCATTCTATGAAGGCACTACCAACCCGAAAGCGTATATCACAGCGTTTCGTATAGCGATGGGACAAGCCTTCACAAAGAACGCTGTCAATCTGACCGAGCAGGAGAAAGACGCCGGTTATTGTCTGATATTCGTAGAGCATCTCAAGGGAGCTGAACTGAAATGGTTTCAAGGCAGGAGCGCAACTCGATCAGCAGCTTCCAACAACTCTCCGTTTTGTTCCTCAAGCAGTATTCGATGTTTATGGATCGAGGAACTTCCGACGCTGACCTATGGACACTATCCCAAGGATCAAACGAGCCGCTTCAGGACTACATGGAATAAGCGACAAGGCTGCACTCGAGGCCTTGAAGCGATCCTTGTGGTACAAATCCAAATTTCGATGGGAAATGACACTCAACACGCCGCAAACAATTCAGGATGCCTTACATCGGTCGTCAGACTTTGTCGTCAATAAAGAAGAAATGAAAAATCTGGACGAGCAGTACGAAGCGACGAAAACAGCGATCCGGAGCTCAATCCTGATGCGCTCTTCGAAGAAAGGCAATCCCTCGAACAACACGACGACGCAGAGCTCCGAGGAACCAAGAAGCGGAGGCGCCCACAACTACCAAGTAGGCACTGGACGCGGAAGGAGAGAGCCGCGTAGCAACACTTGGGTAAGGAGGCCCACTAAATACGATGAAAAGGCGTTCTGCAAGTATCATGAAACCTATGGGCACTCAACAGCGCAATGTCAAACCCTATGAGCAAAACTCGCAGCTAAAATGGCAGCAGGAGAGCTCCAGAGCGTGGTGAATCTTAAAGACCTCGCCCATGCCGAGCCGAAAAAGGGAACCGAGCCAAACAGCGCGGCAGAACCCACAAATCCGTCCCGACGAGGGGACAATACCAAACGTGACAGGAGAAGCGAACCGGAAGAGCGATCCGAGCAGAAGCAAAGGATTAACATGATTATGGGTGGATCCCAATATTACCAAGACACGGTGTCCTCTATCAAAGCCTATCAGCGTCGAGGCGAAGCGAAGGAGAATTGGACTGAACCTACCGATCCCCCGAACACGGTAATCTCTTTTGCCATTGCCGAGGAAGAAACGGCAGGGATAGATAAACCACAAACTGATCCTTTGGTGATCGAACTAACGATCAGAGACCATGACGTAGCAAGAGTACTCATCGACACCGGGAGCTCGTTAGATGCTATCTTTCGAGAGAAAATCAGAAGGGTGGGAATCGACATCTCCGAGGTGACGGCTGTCCCTAAGCCTCTAACCGGATTTTCAGGAGAAACAACAATGACTATGGGAACAATCAGACTTCCCATGGTGGCTGGTGGAGTCACTAAGATCGTCAAATTCTCGGTCACCGACCACCCAGCGATAAACAACGTGATCATGGAGACTCCATGGATAAATGCAATGAGAGCAATCCCTTCCACCTATCACCTCTGCATCAAGTTCCCAACTCCAGAAGACATCAAAATGATTTGGGGAAATCAGAAGGAGTCGCGAATGTGTTTCCTGACAGAGCAAATATTGAGGAACCCTGTCACCGATGCACACGCAGATGTGGATCGCAAGAAGCTGAAGACAGATCAAGAGCCCGCAAACGAGCTCTCCAAAATCTTATAGCAATTATAGATCGCGGAGAGTTGCAAAACACGCACCGAGCCAGTATGTGATGCGGTGGACATGGTGTGTATAGACAAAGCGCATCCAGAGAGGCGCGTCGAGATCGGAGCCAAGCTGGGAGAACCTCTGAAGAACAAACTCGTCTCCTTCCTCAAGGAGAATATCAACACTTTTGCCTGGATCGCGGAAGATATGCCGGGCATAAGCATCGACGTGACTTGTCACGAGCTAAACGTAGACCTGATCTTCAAACCAATCAAGTAGAAAAAGAGGAAGCTCGGCCCCGAACGAGCTAAAGCTGTCAACGACGAGGTATAAAGACTGCTCAAAGTAGAATCGATCGCCAAGGCAAAATATCCGGATTGGCTCGCAAACTCGGTGGTAGTGAAGAAGAAAAATGGCAAGTGCCAATTCTCCGTAGACTTCACAGATCTCAATAAGGCGTGTCCAAAAGACATTTTCCCTCTACCGCATATTGACCGACTAGTCGAAGCTACAGTAGGAAACAGGTTGTTGACATTCATGGACGAGTTTTCAGGTTACAACCAAATACTGATGCATCCTGACGACAGAGAGAAAACGGCGTTTATAACCGACCGCTGAATATACTGCTATAAAGTCATGCCATTCGGACACAAAATGCTGGGGCAACGTATCAACGGCTCGTCAATAAGATGTTCGCAGATCAGCTCGGAAAAACCATGGAGGTATACATCGACGGTATGCTGGTCAAATCGCTCGAAGAAAAAGACCATATTGTGTATATACGGGAATGCTTCAAGAAACTGAACAAACACAATATGAAACTAAACCCAGCAAAATGTAGATTTGCGGTCTCCTCGGGAGAGTTCCTCGGCTATTTGGTAACACACCGATGCATTGAAGCAAACCCCAAGCAGATCAAGGCGTTAATCAAAATGTCCTCTCCAAGAACAAAGCGAGAAGTTCAAAGGCTCACGGGAAGAGTCGCTGCGCTAAACCAATTCATCTCGCGATCTACCGACAAATGTCTCCCTTTCTATGATATCCTCCGAGGAAATAAGAAGTTCGAGTGGGAGGAGCGATGCGAAGCAGCTTTCCAGGAGCTGAAGAACTATTTTGCAAGCCCGCTGGTCTTGGCGAAACCAGTAGAAAGAGAGCCTCTCTTCCTCTACATCGCTGTATCCGCTACGGCTGTAAGCAGAGTGTTAATAAGAGAGGAGCGGTCCATTGACCGATGCTAAGACTCGTTACCCACAGATTGAGAATGTCGTTCTAGCCGTCGTAGTGTCGGCTCGCAAGCTGTGCCCTTATTTTCAATCACATTCGATTATTGTGCTCGCAACCCTTCCACTGTGCTCGATCCTGCACAGCCAAAGCCAATCTAGGGGACTAAAATAATGGGCCATCAAGTTAAGCGAGTACGATATCGAGTATCGGAATAGATCGTCTGCGAAATCCCAGGTGCTCGCAGATTTCCACGTTGAACTCCCAGCCGAGGCAACAACCGAGCCGACTCGAAGTTTGGACACTGCATGTCGACGGCTCGTCATCAAAACATGGCTCCGGAATAGGAATCGCCTCACCTCTCCAACCGGAGAGATCTTGGAGCAGTCCTTCCGCCTGAATTTCTACGCCTCGATAAACGAAGCAGAGTACGAAGCATTGATCGCTGTCCTACGACTAGCATAAGGAATCACAGTTCGGAAAATAAGAGCCTTTTGCGACTCACAACTCGTAGGGAACAGAGAGTACGAGGCGAAAGATGGAAGAATGGGAGCTTACCTCAGAGTATTCCAAGACTTGGTACAAAAGTTCGACGAGTTCGAGCTCACGCGAATATCCCGAGGTGAAAACACCTCGGCTGACGCCTTAGCAGCGCTCGCCTCGACCTCAGACCCGGATCTCCGACAAACTATCCTGGTCGAATTCATCGAACGACCGAGTATAGAGGAAGTAGAAGGAGTTCCGTTAGTCAACCCCTCGGAGGAAAAACCAGATAACGGCGAAGCGATTGCAATGGAAGAAGACGCCTCATCAGCCGAGCTGGAGTATGGCTGCAACAAGGAATGGCTCGGAGCAATTCGAGTCTACATCCCCGACGGAGAAGTTCCACCCAACAAGTGGTAGGCTCGCAAATTAAAGGCTTAAGCTGCACGATACGTCTTTGTCGATGGTGAGGTCTTCAAGTGGAGGTTTTCAGGACAACTAATGACGTGTGTCGAAGGACCCGAAGCAAGAAAATAATGCACGAGGTGCATAGCGGAGCATGCGGTAATCACTTTAGCGAATGGTCGCTAGCGATCAAGATAAAACGGCACGGCTACTCCTGGCCTACGATGGTCAAGTACTGCGAGAAGTTCACTACGAAGTGCGAGAAATGTCAACGACACGCGCCTACTATCCATCAACCAACCGAGCTGCTGTCGTCAATTTTGTGGCCTTATCCTTTCATGAGATAGTCGATGGTCGTCGAGCCTCTACATCGATCAAAGCAGAAGCGTTTTCTGCTCGTCCTTCAGACTACTTCTCCAAATGGGTTGAGGCTGACTCATACGCAAGTATAAAGGACGCCCAGGTCGAACACTTCGTCTGGAAAAATATCATTTACCGACACGGGGTTCCCTACGAGATAATCACCGACAACGGATCTCAGTTTATCTCAACTCGCTTCGAAGCTTTCTGCGAGAAGTGGAAAATTGCCTGAGCAAATCCACGACAAGGTATCCCCAAGAAAATGGATAAGCTGAAGCAGCAAACAAAACAGTACTAGACAGCCTGAAAAAGAGGCTCGACATCAAGAAGGGACGATGGACAAACGAATTCGAAGGAGTCCTTTGGTCGCATCGAACGACTCCACGCCAAACCACCGGAGAAACCCCATTTGCCCTCGTGTATGGAACAGAATGTGTGATCTCTCCCGAGGTGGATTTCCCTGGAATTCGACGAAGACTTTTGCCAGGACAGGAAGGTTTGAATCACCTGATGATGCTGGCTGAGCTCGACTTAATCAACGAAAGGCGCGAACAGGCCTTAATCCGAGTCCAGAACTACCAACAAGCAACAGCGATGTACTACAACAAAAATGTCCGAAGTTAAAGGTTTAAAGATGGAGAGCTTGTCCTTAGAAAGGTTTTCCAAAACACTGCCGAGAGGAATGCAGGGAAGCTTGGAGCAATTGGGAAGGCCCCTACAAGATCATGAAAGTAGTTCGTCCAGGAGTCTATGAACTCGCGACAATGGCTGACGAAGCAATTCGAAGATCGTGGAACGCAATGCACATGAAGAAGTATTATCACTAAGGATACATCATGACCAACATGAACTACGGAACGGCTTGATCCCTTCAAAGGGTACGTAGGCAGCCTGTGACGAGTTCAGCTGTCCCCCCTCCTAAAAAGGGGGGAGTGGATACGTATACACTTAAACCATTTTTAAGTTTTAGCTCATCAAGTCAACTAGCTTTTGGTTTATTTTCACTTCGGCTAGTTTTTTATTTGACAAATTTGACGTTAGCTAGATGCTTATTTGTCACTGCATTCACTTCAACTAGTTTTTCATTCATTTGATTTCACTCTGGCTAGTCGTTTATTCGCTTGCTTTACGACGTTTAGACTTTAACTTGCCCTTGCATTTGCCTTGACAAAATTTCTGATCGCTACCATTTTACTTCGGTACCCAAACACTGAACACCTCGTCTCGTTGCTGGGCACAACGAGACAACAATCACAAAGTTCTCTAAATGGACTTTTACCACATTTCCTAGGACGAGGGTGCAAGTTACATCCTCTATGGATAAAAATTAAGGGCGCTATACGAAATTCAGACCAAAAACGTATCGGTCGCCATAGTACATTCACCCTCTCGGGAACGCCGGTCTATAGCCACACTCTAACACTATCGGTCCAGATTTTAATCCAAGTCCAACACGCCAATTAGTAAAAACCAAGCCGATTTAAACACCTCGTCATACCTTATGACTCAGCGCCTCGGCATAAACAGTCAACACCATAAATAACATCGGTCCTCTTCTCGAAAATCAAGAACATACCTCCCAGCTCGGGAACGCTGCTCCTTAGACATTTTATAACTTAAAAAGGATCCACTTGATACCTAGAGTATCAAAACAAGCTGTTTTA